TCGAATCCATCAATCCAGCTCTGTTTCTTCCTTCATGATAAAAGAAGCCATCCGTTTCGTCATTTTCTTGCCATGATCAGATTCAGGATCAAAGATATGATAAACATGGTCTTCTCCTTCCTGTTCAAACAATTCCAGTTCACCTTTCCACCCACTCTTCTTTACACCCTCATAGAACCAAACCCCTCTGTCCCTCAACGAATCTTTCCCTGCAACACACACAAGAATCCTAGAACACCCAAGTCCAGCCAAGCTGGGTGCTCCAGGAGCCAAAGGATTGACCATGGGGTTATCCAATCCACCTGGAGCAGAAGGGTAAGCGAATTTCCAGGCCAAAACCGGCACCGTCTGGTCACGCCCTGAAACAGGCTCAGACCCAATTGGACTTGAACCGCAGAAATAAGGGTGAACATAGATAGCACCTAAAATTCTAACCCCACCAGGCAAATCCTCAACCCCACCACGCATGGCGATGTTATGGACAATATTACCACCAGCACTATCACCTGCTATGAAAACCCTGCTGAAATCTCCGTAGTTTAGCCATGGCTCGTCACAGGGGTCTCTCGTTGAACAGGTCGCGACCCATTTAAGAGCTGCCCAGCAATCTTCATAAGCTGCAGGAAGATAGTTTTCTGGAGCAAGGCGGTACTCTACAGACACGACGACGACGTTGACTTGGGAGACGAAGAGGTTTAAGTAACGGTGGTAGAGCTGAGAGAATGCGGACTCGAAGAAGAACCCACCGCCATGATAATAGACCAAGATGGGGAGTTTTTGGTGGTCATCGTGGTGGAATTGGGTGGTGGATTTAGGAAGGTAAAGGCGAGCGGAAATGGGCGGTTCGTCGGAGATGATGATGTCTTTGGAAGAGACGCCGGTTTGAGGGTCGTCAAGTGACGGTGGTACAAAGGGGGCTTGTCGGGGGCGTTCGACGGTGCCATTTCTGTAGACTCGGATATAGGTGGGGATCTCTGCAACTATGTCTTCGTTGTTGGCTGTGGTAGCCATTTGACACAGACTGAGAATTGAGAAGAGAGTGGTTAGATAGAAGAAAGCCAGATTGAGGTTCCAGGCAAAGGAGCTAATTCTCCACTTGCCTTACACCACGGGCATATTTATAGGAAAAATCACAAATATTGATACCAAACAATAATTTCAATATTTAATTAATACTACTATATTAATATTAATTAATTATTAATGTGTCATTAGTGTGTATATATATATATACTCTTTCTGTCTTAAATATAACTCATTCTTAAGCAATTCATAAACCTTATGAGTTAAAGTATAATCTGACTTCTTACCAACTAAGTCAATTTTTATTAACATAAATATATTATATTTTAAAACTACATGCATTAGTTTCTATCCTCTCGCATCACTCTTACTACCTCCGATCCTAATTATAAGACCCAGTTGACTAATTTGAGGAGATTAAGGAATAAGTTAAGTTAGTTATTTGTAATAAATAAGTGTTGTCATTCCTAAAATATCATTGCTAATTAAGTGTATTGGCTAGAACTATCATATTAGAAGGACTATCTTGGAAAAAAATGTATAATATGAGAGACAAAATGGATTGGGGTCTTATAATTAGGACCAAACAAAAAGTCAAACAGGGTCTTATATTAAGGACCAGAGGTAGTATTAAATAAGAACATATATGAAAGGTTATTTAATTTTTTTAAAAAAATTATCAGATGCCTTATAACACCCGGCATCGTTTTGTCACTACTTTTAGGCATAAGCGATCCTATTTAAAACGCTATGTATTAAATGTGAATAATTCTTCTAATAAAATTCATTTATTGTTGGACACAGCGTTTTGGAATTTTGACGCGTTGTGGGCCCACGTACACGTGAAAGCGGAGGGGCCTTCGTGCCCGTTTGCTATTATTTTTATTTTTTCCATAACCATGTGGAGACGCACTGCTTCCTTTTTTGTCAAATTTTTTTGGACATGGATATGCAAGAGGCATTGTTTCAAATGAAAAGGATAAATTAAAAAAAAAATCCTTTTTTGGTCTACGAGCATGCATTTAATTATATTATATTAAAAAAGGAAAGAAATAGCAACCAACACCTACGAGTATATTATATTTTTTTAAAAAAGGGAAAGAAATAGCAACCAACACCTTTGTTAACTAAAAGGTCAATTTTATTCAAAGTCAGAAAAAACAGTGCAACCAACACTCCTTGAAACTACCGTAATGAATGGAAACTTTCAGCAAGTGCTGTACATTGAAACAACTAAAACAGTAGGTCAAGATTAACTGAAAAGCGGTCTCACCAAGAAGATAACTTCGAATCTTGACAAACATATTTGTTAGGGGACTTTAATTTTATGAGCGCCGGTGGCGGGACCAGTAATTTTGATAAATATTTATTTTTTAATAAAATAAAAAAAGATGGGTATTATTGTAATCTGATTTTAAATTTTAATTTCAATTTGGTCTTTTGGTCCTGCAGTGAGGTTTCAGAAAGTTTTGAGAGCTCTTTGATATTAATTGTCTTCTACGGTCCTTCACTGAAATTTTCCCCTTTAATTTTAACACTTTTAATCTAATAGAAATTAGTTTTGAATTCGAAATGATTTAAGAATATTTTGAGTTATACAGAAAAAATTATCTAAAAATCCCAAATTGGTTTCCTTGTCATTCGCCAACTATAAAAGGCTACACCAACAAAAGAGCACGTGATGATTATATTCTTCAATTCAATGGGGGTGAAACCCTTCCTCATCTTCGCACCAAAGCACTGGCTTCAAGGGCAACTTTCCCTGTTTGTTCTTCCTCCACCTCTTCCTCAGACAGACATATCGTTTTAAGGAAGACAGATGCATGGGAAGGCAAATCAATGTCCATATCAACTATTTTTAAAACGCTAATTAAATTCATGTACATGGCCACTCCTCGAAGCTTCCTCTAAACTTGCCTCTTCTTCCTCGAAGCTTGAGTTGATTTTTTTGGTTGAGTCCAGATATCCAATTAGAGATTATTGTATGCCTGTAAATGGAAACTCGGAAAGAAGGTCACTTGACTCTACCGACATCTTCAACAGCCATGCATCGTGGATCTGTTAACAATAGGACATGTGGGCGGCTACACCTTTGAAGATAAAAATCTAAACATTAATTACTCCCAATTATGTAACTTGAATATAATTGACGTGTTTTATTTATAGTATCGATGCGTGATCTTGTCTCCCGTTTATTTTTTCTCAGGCCCACCAAAGTACTTGAATTGACAACCGTTCTGAAATAAACAGGTTATTTAACATATATATAGACGGGTTTGGAAACTTTTTTGTTTTTTTTTAAACCAATTATCTTTTTATTAGAAACAATTCTATCCTAAGTACTATCAGATACTAAATGTGAGTATTTCTTTCAATAAAAATTCAAACCTTGATTTGTCACATTGTGAGAAACTAACCCTTTTCATTAGACCCAACTCCCGTTGATACCAACAGGTTTGAAAACTAAATTAAATATATTTGACTTACAAAATGCTAACTTCGACAATTTAAGGATTATGTAAATATTTCAAGATCTACCAGGTCAAAAAAAAAAAAAAGATCCAAAATACTCATAATGAGTTCAATTGCAACAAAGTAAGAAAACGACCTATGAGTTCAGGTGGGGTTTGAATTCTCAGTCTATAATAACTATTTTCTTTACCAATATAGTAACTAATACTGGTTTAAAATTTTAAAATTCAACAGTTATTTTTTTTAGGATTTTTCTATGAAATAGTCTCTAATTCCATCTTATTTTACTGACAATGGGCAAGGTGACTAATTCTCCCTGTCCGAACCACAGAGCAAACATCAATATAACATTAAATACTCTTCCACCTTAGCCGATCAGTATATGTGGCTTAATATTGGCTTCTCACCTAGAATACTATTCATAAGCTGTCCAATTTACTCATCTTCCTTCCATGGGCTGCGTGCAAGCCATTTATTGAAGCTAAACAATAGCTCCTCAACAAGCACTGCCTATGCACCAACACAATATTTCCCTCTCTAAGCAGATAATTCAAAATCCTTCATTCCCTCCTTATCACACATTTCGAATTTCAAAATCCTTCATTTCCTCCTCTTTCTCTCTCTCTTCATTTATGCTTTTGTCATCCGTTTCAAATTTCAAACCCCCCAATTCGCTCCGCTTTCACTTTTTATTTATATCTCTTCAATACCAACAATTCTCTCATTCAAAATTAGATCTTACGTTTATGCAGAATGAAACTCCACCATCTCTATATCTCCTTCGTTTTTTTATCGAGATCCTTTTTACCTTCTTATTCTTTATCTTCCATGTAAAGTTGCTGTTTGTTTCTATTTTTTCTCCCAAACGTTCTCTTTTCATTTATATCTTTTCTACCCATCGGTTTCTCTCTCTCATTCAAAATTTAGAAATCAACCCCCAAGCAGTGCACTTGGGCTCTGTGTTGATATCGGTGCACTAGCATGCGGGCATATTATGAAGCTTCAGATTGAGGTAGATGAGGAGATCAGTAAGATTGTTAATACTCGCTTCAAGACCATGGTGTATCAGTAAGTAATGTCCCAAGTCTGAACATAACATTCTTATTCATCTCTCTCTTAGATTCAAATCCTGAATGGATGAATGAATGAACCGATCAAGCAGCTTCAGTGTTTGGGTTATTTATCATATGAGATTTGATTGACTTACAGGATGAAAGTGGGAAGTGGCATGAAGGAGCAATGACCACTCTTATGGACACCATAGGTAGCTGGACGGCCTTCTCCTTCACATCCCAAAAATAAGTCATTGTTTATCTCTCTGTCTCTTACTGCTCTAAGCCAAACCTTCAGGTTATTTCTCATCTTTTCTTTTAATGTTTAATAATATATATATAACTCTTAATAGAGTTGTGAATTTGAGTTTTAATATGTGCTTCATTATCATAATAAATCATAGCAAGTGGTCGCTTAATTTGATTTTTTTTTTTTTTGCTTCTCATTCATAAACTTTTGTTAATTTCATTTTGCCTATCAGTTTGTACGATTGTAGCTTAATCCTCATTGAAGATTGAAGGTTTTTCTAAGTTTTGAATTTCTCATGTTTCATCTAGGAATGGTTAAAAGAAAAGTGAAAGGAAGAAGCTCTTTCACTATGTTGGTTGTTTGCCAAAAGACGAATTATGCTTTGAATAATTCATTCCACTAGCACCTAAGGAATGATTGGTTTTGCAGGTTCGGTATTATTAAAAATAGAATATCGTTGTGGTGTAGGATGATCTCGATGTTTTTAAATAATCAAGTGGCATTCTTTTTTTTTATATGCACACACTAACTGGCGTGTAATGAATGATTTTTTTTTAATTTCCTTTGTGCAGTATTCATTGATTGGATGACCAAAAAACCTCAGCTGCAAATGAAGTTTATATATTTTGATGCCCATAAGAAAAGATTTTTATATTGAGATGCAGTATGGGTATCGAGAAGTCAGAGTTGATAATTTTTTTCACACAACTCTCATATTTGGATTGTTTGTTTTCAATATCTCTTATTCAAATGGATGTGCATTTGCATAACAAAATGGACATATCAGTAGCAACTTGGTATAAAATGCTTGATCTATGTGTTTTTCTTTTGGCCCAAGGGCTATGTTGAAATATTTGGAGATGATTTTTTATTTTTCATATATCTTGTAATGTAATAGGTTTATATAGGTATTTAAATGGTTTGAAATTAATGAGATGATAAATATATCAACCTTTTTGCATCATTATTTTCTTAGAATTATTTGACCAAAAGAATAAAGGGGTTCATCCAACTAAATACGCTAACGCTGTTCCAAGAGCAAGCAAGAAACCTTGCTTTCATGCCTTAATGGTGTTGAAGCAAATTCAAGTGATTTGTGATTTTCCATCAATCATTTTTTAGTTTATGACAAATATCGTCTAATGGATTGATGTTATCTAAATGATACCATTAGTTAGAAGCGTTGACGTTAGTTACTAGAGGCTATGTTAGCTTTCGTCCTTTTAGAGGTATAGTTGAAGATGCTAGATTATTGGTACATAGGGATTGGCATATTCTAATTAATCATACCTTTAGGGAGCATTTAGGTTTTGCTGATTTTTTAGCCAAGTCTTCACACATGATGATAAAAAATTTGTGTATGTTTGATCAACTTCCACTTCTTCAGCAAGAGGAGGAGGTTGATAAAAGGATTTTGGATTCTGTTTTGTTGTATTGTCTTCCTTTTCTGAATAGTTTTCTATTAAAAAAAAAAAAAACACCATCATCATAAGTAACCCCTATATATTAGATATCTAGGATTCAACCTGCTTCATTATATTTAAGTAACCCCCCTATGTTTTGAATCACGGAAACGAACGTGCGCATTCTAAGAGGCAAATGGATGTGAGGTCAATCCAGGTAAGCTGATAGCCATATTAAATTGAACATCAACAAACATCAAATGTTGTTTATAAGGAATTTTTTTAAAAAAATATAGATGGTGATGTTGTGTAATTAACACAAATCACACAATTTCTAATGTTTTGATGAGATTCAAGTTTGTAACGAAAATAATTTTGTATAATTGTAAGCTTCCCGTGCAGCGCACGGGAGAGTAAAATCTAGTTGAGTCCAAAAAAAGAACCACAGAGCAAACAGAACTGAAAACGCGCAACATTTTGCAGAATCTTTCTGTAACTTCACGGGAAGTTGGATCCATCAATCCGTCTCTGTTTCTTCCTTCGTGATGAAAGAAGCCATGCGTTTGGTCATTTTCTTGCCATTCTCAGATTCAGGATTAAAGATATGATAAACATGGTCTTCTCCTTCCTGTTCAAACAATTCCAATTCACCTCTCCACCCACTCTTCTTCACACCTTCATAGAACCAAACCCCTCTGTGCCTCAACGGATCTTTCTCTGCAACACACATAAGAATCCTAGAACACCCAAGTCCAGCCAAGCTGGGTGCTCCAGGAGCCAAAGGATTGACCATGGGGTTATCTAATCCACCTGGAGCAGAAGGGTAAACGAATTTCCAACACAAACCCGCCCCGCTCTGGTCACGCCCTGAAACTGATTCAGACTCAATTGGACTTGAACTGCAGAAAAAGGGTTGGACATAGATAGCACCTAAAATTCTAACCCCACCAGGCAAATCCTCAACCCCACCTCGCATGGCGATGTTATGGACAATATTACCACCAGCACTATCACCAGCTACGAAAACTCTGCTGAAATCTCCATAGTTTAGCCATGGCTCGTCACTGGGGTCTTTCGTCGAACAAGTTGCGACCCATTTAAGGGCCGCCCAGCAATCTTCATAAGCTGCGGGTAGATGGTGTTCTGGAGCGAGCCGGTATTCTACAGAGACGACGACGACGTCGGCTTGGGAGACGAAGAGGTTTAAGTAACGATGGTAGAGCTGAGAGAAGGCGGACTCGAAGAAGAATCCACCGCCATGAAAGTAGACCAAGATGGGGAGCTTTTGGTGGTCTTCGTGGTGGAATTGGGTGGTGGATTTCGGAAGGTAAAGGCGAGCGGAGATGGCGGGTTCGTCGGAGATGACGATGTCTTTGGAAGGGACGCCGGTTTGAGGGTCGTCAAGCGACGGTGGTACAAATGGGGTTTGTTGGGGGCGTTCGACGGTGCCGTTTTTGTAGACTCGGATATAATTGGGGATTTCTGCAACAATGTCTTCGTTGTTGATTGGGGCAGCCATTGTAGACTGAGAATTCAGAAGAGTGGTTAGATAATTGGATAGAAGAAAGCCAGAGTGAGATTTAAAAAGAACTAAAAAGCTTTACTCACCTTCCAACTTCAAGTTCCAACAGAGTGAAAAATGACTCATTATATCTTAAGTAGCAAGTAAAGTTTTTTCACCCGTCACTTCACGTGCCGATTATATTCTCAAAGAGTTAAAGTAACCTTTTTTTTTTTGGGCAAAAGAACGAAGGCAGGTTTTTTCTTTCGGTTTTTTTTTTTGGGTTTCATCTGGGCTTGTGGTGTCAGCTCATATGACGGGCCAAACACAATAAAGAATAATGATGTGTGGTCTACTTTGATACTTGATAAGGCAAATGGAAAATTTTATGGCCCTCCCAAAAGACCAACAACGTGTGGTAGCAAATCTTAGGTTCCAACAAGAGAGATACCCACATTTAGTATCCAACAGTATCTTGAATAGAATTGCCTCTAATAGGAGGATATTTATATTTTAGCCAAAAAAAAAATCTTAGGTTCCAATGACATGACGTGAGCAAAAAGTGGGATAGCCAAAATGAAGATATTAAGATGGATATATGGTGATAAAAAAAGAAGTAAGATTCATAATAAACAAACATCTTCACAAAAGAGTTGGTGTGACGTCCATTGAAGATAAGATAGTAAAAAAATCGTTTGAGGATTGATTCAACATAACTGAGTCCTTTGAAAATGAGTAGAAAAAAAAAACTGAGCAAAATATTCAATGAAATTATTGAAGTTAAGGTATATTTAGCATTCAAAAGTATTTTGTCAGATTTATCTAGCACTTTAAAATATTTTGTGGTGTGTATATCACCCTGAATGTATAACAAGCTGCATAAAATATTTTTTTAATATTTTTAAGGTGTTGAACCCACATGAAAAAATACTTTAAAATACTAAATAAATTACAAAATACTCCTCCGGTCCTTAATATAAGACCCATTTAACTAATTTGATTAGATTAAGGAAGTTAGGTAAGTTAGTTAATTATAAGAAATGTGACATGTTTTTCTTAAAATACCATAATCAACTTTCTTAATACCTTCTTTTCCTCTTCTACTTGATTATGGTTGAGGAAGTATCCATATGGGTAATTTAGAGAAAATTGATAAATATGATAAATGGGTCTTATATTTAGGACCAAAACTAACTTAATAATTTGGTCTTATATTAAGGACCAGAGAAGTATTTTAGGGTACTGAATGCACATGAAAAAATATTTTGAAGTGCTAAACATGCCACATAATGCTTTAAGATATTGAATACACTTTACAAAATATTTTAAAATATTAGACGGAACTCAATACCAGTTACGGGGTAACATCTTTTTCTTCTTTTGTTAACAATGACAAAACACAATATGATCGTGTGAACTGTGATCCATATGATTAATACCAGTGCCATTGCTTGTGGCGTCTTGGTTTGGGCTCCTCAGTCCTTTTAGTGTTCAAGAGGAGTTTGTGGGCACCATTTGTTTGGCTTATCACAAGTACAAGCAGAGTACTGCCTGTACGTATACGGCGTCCTCATTTAAACAAAAAGGAAGGAAGGACAACATGTGAAACAATTTCCATTTCCATGACATCCTTCTGGCGGACGTAATGGAGCAAAAGCAGGACCATGCTATATCCCGTAAACAACCCTGGTCCTTTAATCAACCACACTGATCCAATTTTGCAATGCACCCTGATTTGCTAGATTTTTCCCCCCTCCATGTCTTTTCTTGCAGGTACTGATCCAGCTCTATTGATCAAGTCCTGCTCGCACACGTCTCATCTTCCTGTTTGATTCCAACGCGTCTAGTTCTGTTTTTTCCGAGTGTTTTTTGACGGGAGGAGTATCTTATACTGTGGTAAGAACTAGGTACTACTAGTTCCTTTTTTAATCATGATTTTGTGTTTTTTGTGGCTCCTTGCTTGGCCTTGAATTGCTTGAACACGGGTTCAAATGCCGATAATCATAAAAGATTGACTACTAGCTTTGATTAAAAAAAGGGGGTCAGTTTAACAAAATCTTGTTTGGATGATACATATATACATACATATATATATATATATATTTGAATAGAAACTGTGTGCTCCAAAAGAAGCATAAACAATATAGAACAGCTTTCCTCATCAATCTCCTTCTCTTGGTAAAGAGATGGAGATTGAGTTTAGATGACATACTGAAAAGTTAATCTTACAATGTTTAAATTCGAAGAAAAACTAGAACGGAATATAAAAGCCAAAAATCAGAAACAAAATTGATTTATCTTCAATTTGACTTTTGATCTAGAATCTTATTTTCTCTTTGGTTATTCCAAACATCACATGCGAAGCCAGAGTAATTTTTAGGGGCAGAAAAGTCAATTTGACATCACATAACATGATAACAAACAAGCTCTATACACAATTTAAGAAAAAATTTTAAATTTCAAAAGAGTAGGCTTGAGTTTCTTGTAATAAAGTCATCTATTTTACTAACTGTAAACGTAATTTTCAATTTTGCTATACTAGAGTTACGAATTTGCTATAAGACATTAAAATTGTTAATTTTAATTAGGTGATTGTTATAATTAATAGAGTTGTTCAATTGGTAAAAACACAACTTTAATTTCTTTTTCTAAAAAATAATTATGAAATGAGTTATATGGAAGTTATCTTATCACAACCACCTTCACAGTTGAATAACTCCTTTACTAGCCAAAACTAAAAGGTATACTGTGGTAAATTTGGAAGGACATTTCTATCATTTATCCACAACTTTCTATTAATTTTTACTATTCAAGCACCATTACTTTATTCATTTTATTAAATACTTACAGGGAGAATTCCACATAAAGAAATTTCAAGTTGATAAATTCTAAATAAAAAATTCTTATAAAAATGTGTCATTATTTGCATATCTAATATTGTTAAAACCTATTAAAGTGTTGTTATCAAACCTGATT